CAATCTATCTGTTGCAATAGGAAAAAATTTTGGAATGTCATAAACATAAAATAACATTAAAAATTAATATTAAAAGAAGAAAGATATACAAACATTATTAGATAATACACGTCTCACATTTTTAGGCACAAATCTACTAATTATGTTTACATAATCTAAATTGTTATTAGATTAGGCTTTCAGAAAGTGAGTTCGGTCTCACAATGAACTTGCCATAATAATGTGGTTCAGGTTCACATTTGGCGAGAATTGAACCAAAAATATCTTACTTCACGGGGGCTATTTGAATATGCTTGTCTGTGAAGTCTTTACTAGTGTGGCCTTTTAATTATAAAAAAAATCCTCCATCATGTTTAGAACAGGAGATGGTAACCAAATAAATGTCTTCTTTTCCACTACGCCACCAAATTTTCTTTGTTATTCATCTTACTTTTACAATATTTATATATATATATATATATATAAATTAGGAGCACCCAAAAGTCGGGACCCTAGGCGGTTGCCTTACCCAACTACCCTCAAGAAGACCGGCTTAGCAAATACACTAGAAATAAAAAGATAAATAGACTAATATATAGTCAAGGAAAACAATGAAAACCATTAAAATGTTAAATATTAAACACATCAAATGTGTGTTCAAATGCCATAGATGATAAAATACAAGCAAGCTACACATCTTATAAAAAACAAATGAGAAAACTAAAATAATAAACAAAGGCCGGCAATAAGGTTGTTATACACGAACCGATAGTAACATATACATTATGAAATATATATGTCTTTGACATGTGGGAAGGTTGTTATTATAGCAAAATCATTTACTATATAATTAGGTCATCTAATATGGTGAAAATGTGTGTGTGTGTGTGTTTTTTTTTTTTTTTTGAAAAAACGGTATTATTTACACTAAGGGTGATGGGGGTAGGCTTAGCCTCACGATGAGCTAACAATAATGTGGTTCAAATTCGCCTTTGGCGAGAATCGAACCTAAGACCTCTCAGTTATAAGTGAAGAAGAATACCAATAGACCGTAGTACTAAGTGTCTGATGAAAATGTACTTAATCGTATATGTTATTCCTTGCTAATGTAAAATAACACTATTAGACATAGTTGTTAATTAAGAACTTAAACACTGCACTAAATTTACCAATTAGAGTTTGTAGTTTAGTGGTATTTTCTTTTTCTGTGTTGAAAAGTATCTCAAATCCGAGTCTTCTATCTCTTTCTGTGTTGAAAAGTATCTCAAATCTACTAATTATGTTTACATAATCTAAATTGTTATTAGATTAGGCTTTCAAAGAGTGTGTTCGGCCTCACAATGAACTTGCCATAATAATGTGGTTCAGGTTAACGTTTGGCGAGAATTGAACCAAAGATATCTTACTTTACGGGGGCTATTTGAATATGCTTGTTTGTGAAGTCTTTACTAGCGTGGCCCTTTTAATTATAAAAAAAAAATCCTCCATCATGTTTAGAACAGGAGACGGTAACCAAATAAATGTCTTCTTGTCCACTACGCCACCAAATTTTCTTTGTTATTCATCTTACTTTTACAGTATTTATATATATATATATATATATATATATATATATATATATATATATATATATATATATATATATATATATATATATAAATTAGGAGCACCCAAAAGTCGGGACCCTAGGCGGTTGCCTTACCCAACTACCCTCAAGAAGACCGGCTTAGTAAATACACTAGAAATAAAAAGATAAATAGACTAATATATAGTCAAGGAAAACAATGAAAACCATTAAAATGTTAAATATTAAACACATCAACTGTGTGTTCAAATGTCATAGATGATAAAATACAAGCAAGCTACACATCTTATAAAAAACAAATGAGAAAACTAAAATAATAAACAAAGGCCGGCAATAAGGTTGTTATACACGAACCGATAGTAACATATACATTATAAAATATAAAATGTATTAGCATTGCCCATTATAATGTTGAATACTGAACGTATCAAATGTCTGTTCAAGGAAAACATATATGTCTTTGACATGTGGGAAGGTTGTTATTATAGCAAAATCATTTACTATATAATTAGGTCATCTAATGTGGTGAAAATGTGTGTGTGTGTTTTTTTTTTTGAAAAAACAGTATTATTTACACTAAGGGTGATGGGGGTAGGCTTAGCCTCACGATGAGCTAACAATAATGTGGTTCAAATTCGCCTTTGGCGAGAATCGAACCTAAGACCTCTCAGTTATAAGTGAAGAGGAATACTACTAGACCGTAGTACTAAGTGGCTGATGAAAATGTACTTAATCGTATATGTTATTCCTTGCTAATGTAAAATAACACTATGAGACATAGATGTTAATTAAGAACTTAAACACTGCACTAAATTTACCAATTAGAGTTTGTAGTTTAGTGGTATTTTCTCTTTATGTGTTGAAAAGTATCTCAAATCCGAGTCTTCTATCTCTTTCTGTGTTGAAAAGTATCTCAAATCTACTAATTATGTTTACATAATCTAAATTGTTATTAGATTAGGCTTTCAAAGAGTGTGTTCGGCCTCACAATGAACTTGCCATAATAATGTGGTTCAGGTTCACATTTGGCGAGAATTGAACCAAAGATATCTTACTTTACGGGGGCTATTTGAATATGCTTGTTTGTGAAGTCTTTACTAGCGTGGCCCTTTTAATTATAAAAAAAAAATCCTCCATCATGTTTAGAACAGGAGACGGTAACCAAATAAATGTCTTCTTTTCCACTACGCCACCAAATTTTCTTTGTTATTCATCTTACTTTTACAGTATTTATATACTAATATATATATATATATATAAATTAGGAGCACCCAAAAGTCGGGACCCTAGGCGGTTGCCTTACCCAACTACACTCAAGAAGACCGGCTTAGCAAATACACTAGAAATAAAAAGATAAATAGACTAATATATAGTCAAGGAAAACAATGAAAACCATTAAAATGTAAATATTAAACACATCAACTGTGTGTTCAAATGTCATAGATGATAAAATACAAGCAAGCTACACATCTTATAAAAAACAAATGAGAAAACTAAAATAATAAACAAAGGCCGGCAATAAGGTTGTTATACATGAACCGATAGTAACATATACATTATAAAATATAAAATGTATTAGCATTGCCCATTATAATGTTGAATACTGAACGTATCAAATGTCTGTTCAAATGTCTTATAATGTAATGATAAATTACAAGAAAACTACACATTTAAAAACAAACAAGAAACTGAAAAATAATCAAAGGCCGGCAATGAGGTTGTTCTACACGACCGAACCGATAGTAATACATAAATTAAAAATATAAAACTATATTAGTACATAATAGAACGATTATTGTGAGGACAGGGATAATCTATATATAGTTATTATGATATCTTTCAATCAATCATATTATAAAATGAGAGAGATTCGTAATCACAATTATATATTTTATGTTCCACCATAATAAATTTTACTAAATAAGGATTATGTGATTAGTTAATTAGAGATAAAGACTCTTTCATATTAGGACTACAAGATTACTCGAATATCAATACAAGCGCAATGGAGGATGATATGATAGGATTGGTTTAACATTTTATAACGTGAAAAAGGTGGTGCATCCAATAACAGAGGGGTAGATTCGTATAATTAATGAGTGGGTCATTTGTGAGGACGTGATGGCTTGCACCAACCGCTTGTTTGTATTTTGCATGATCGGTTCTACAAGAATCCAAATCTGGCCGGCCGTCAAATATATATTTAAATTCCCACAATTGTGAAGAGGAGTGGCTACAAGCCTACAAGAATCCAAATCTGCCTGCCAAATATAATTTAATCCGGCTAATGATGCTGTCAAACATATAATTAAATCCGGCCGGCTAACGATGCCGTAGACCATAGCCGGCAAGGTTAGTGCAAGTGGCCACTGCTGAGAAGACTTAATCTCTAACAAGTAAAACGAATCTCCACCATGCAAGAATATGACAAGGTGGGAAATTTTTACCACGGGTGGTTTTGTTTGATTAATTTGCATTAGTGAGATACTGCCTATTTGATTTCTCTATTTTATAAGTGGTCCTCATTGGTTAATACACATTAGAGGACTACACTATTGGATTCCTACCTATGGTTCTGCTTGGTTAATCTACATTACCGGACCATATGCATCATAGGAGTAACTCTGCTTGGTCACTCTGCATTAAGGGTCATTGCCTATATGATTTCTCTGTTCTATAGGTGGTCCTGTTTGCTCAAATCTAGAATATGGGAAATCAAATAAAACAACTCCTACAAGAAGGTACATGATTCACCGCGGAAGAAATTCTTAGGTTATGATTCCCAATTAGTTTGCCTTGGCAATAGAAAGCCCCTTGTAATAGTTCACCACCCAGAGATTCGCCAATGAAAGCCCTTGAAGAGCTAATTTGTACTTCAACAGGAATATCAACATCAGGATTACTAACGAATGCATATTGGTATTTGTCGCTTATCTTAGCTGAAACCCTAATCACCATCCAAGGTATTGTAGATGGAGGACCGTCTTCTGCAGAATCCCCAGTCAAATCGCTCCTCCGGGGATCTCCAATGAAGTCAAAGACTGCTTTTGCTTGTTGAAAGTCGTCTTCTACTGTGTACCTGAAACCGGAGTTTTTAAGCGATTAAGTGAACATGTTTACCATTTGATTACCCAAATTTGACATACATGACTAGCAAAGATTACACTCATCTCAACTAATGCCGACAAACTTTCTAACAAATTTAAGTATAATCTGAGATGTCAAGAAGGTGGGAAATATGGAAGCACTCTTCATTTGTTCATATGTAAAAAAGTTACCCGCTTTTGGTTGCGATACACTTCATTCCAGCAACTTTGGCTGCGGCGAGGCTTATGTCGATGTTCTCCACTACAACACAACTGCAGAAAAAGGAAAGATGTCATATTTTATCCAAGAAAATTGGGGCAGAGAATGCACATATGTTTGTAGGAGTAACTTGTTTGCAGCTTGAATTTTCAGCTTAAAATAACATAGACTACTTCCTTCATATCTGCAATGCCCAATTTATTATAAACACGATTAGTTCTCAAAGATAAAATTGTTAATCCTTTATAAGAAAGTGGTTCAAAGGAGACAGTGTTACCTTCACAGCACGAAGAAAGCTCTGCAAAATGCTAAGGTGTTGAGACAATGATGAGCAAACACCATCAGGAAGAGTGACCCAAAGTACCCACTATTGGCCTGCATCGACATCGTTATCGTCATGGCATTACATGTAAAAGAATATACTATTTTACAAGCATCAGAGCAAACTTTGTTTTGCATGTGTAACCTAAGCTGCGTCCATGTTTAGTAGTTTCTCTGGTTTTTACTATAATTTGTAGGTTACATTTCAAAATGAGCATAAGAGTCTTTAAGAGAGCAACTGAAGAGAGAAAGAGAGTTACAATTAGGGTAGTACAATAGTTTTTCCACTTTCAATTTCAAGCTCTCCCTCTATTCAACAGTTGGCTGCTTCTTGCACTCGCCTTTCACAGCAATGCAGGGCACAAGGGACACTACGAAGCCCAAGCTTCTAAGGATCCACACAACATAAAAAATCAACCGAATTAAAATCTCTGCAAACTCATAAGGATACATTTGGATTTGGATGAGTATCAACAGAGAATATTGACCAGTTGGAATCGAAAAGATAAAAGATTACCAATTTGTATCCAAATTAGGATTTGATGATAAGGAAGCATGATGGGAAAAGTTGAAGAATGATACTGATCCACGCACAAGTTTTGAATGGCATCCCAGTTCTGCCTGTACAAAGAAAACACAAAAGAACTTAAGAAAAATATAAAGAACAAGTTCCAACTTTCTGGTACTAAAATGCTTGAAACTATTCCAACTCTACAAGGATGTAAGGTTACCCAACTGATCTGGCAAAGCCTCTACTCCCTCAAGTAGAGACTTGCATTAATTTGTAGCCCACAACTCACCACTTATTGGGAATAGGATGGAGAGCCGAGCCTTCAAACTGATAAGTATCGAACAAAGAATGTTGATCCAGTGTAATTAAAGGGATGAGCGCTTCCCAGTTTGTCTAAATTAGGAATGTTCGGTCAAGAGTTTCTACCAGACTCCCAATTCTGCCTGGTCAAATTTAACAACAAAACAACTTAGGAAATATATAGTACAGAACAAATTTTAACTTTTCAACTGATAGTACAGAGAGCTTGAAAATATCATCTAGCATTGCAACTGAAGATTCTTTTATCTAATCTCGCGATAATGCGGGTATTTTACAATGTAATTACAGTTCATACGATCAAAAAATCAGTTCAGATTTCACAAGTAACCATAAATATATCTGTCCAATATCTTCGTATATAAGGATAATAACGAACAGAAAGCAATTTCAGCAGTTCTATATACTATAAGAACATGATTTTACCTGGGTTCTAGAAATATTTGATTAAAAAAGTTCAATACCATGAAGGGGTAATTAAGAGGCTTGCTACCTTGATAAGTAGTATAACTTGAGGTTTATCATTGAGAAATGAAGGTTGAGCGAGAAACTTTATATCTTGTGCATCAGTACCTGTACTCAATTTGCAGCTATTGAGCATCCTGAAAAACGCTACAGCATGCCAAAAGAAATATAGATGCCGCTGGAAAACACAACATATATAGTAAGTGAAAAGTCAAGAGCAGAATGCATTTAGAAGAGAAGAGGAGGTGCGGATTTGAAAACTTACACGAATTCATTTCAATGTGGAAGTTGGAGCCATTTGGAGTCGTTTGTACATACAACTGGAATACAAGAAATCTCGGAGAAGTGTGGCCTTGCACACCATGAAATTTGGTTTTTCGAATACAAATTTGTTGTAGTTTGGTAAGGTGCTGCCTACCTTCCATCCAACTGATGTGAGACTCAGTCAACTGATTTAAAAGAAGAGGGAAAAGGATTAAAAAAATTTGGTATACTAGTTTAAACTATTATGTAGTAGTTGAGATGAATAAACGAACAAAAGAGATAAACATATAATTAACATGAACTCTGTAATATCATTTCAACAAGTTAAAAACTTACTTGTGATATCTGGAATGTGAGAAATTTTAGGCCAATCTGTGCCACTGTTCTTGGTGCATCTTTGCTTTAGAAAGGGATGACAATTATAAATCCGCAGTGTGCGTAATTTGGTGAGGCATTGCATAGCTTGGACACTAGGCAAATTCATCAGATTCTTGCAATCTTTAATTATCAGATATGTAAGGGATGTAAGGCTACCCAACCATTCTGGCAAAGTCTCCACTCCTTCAAATTCAATTACCCAACCATTCTGTAGACACCTCTCCTGCTCCGATGTTTCCTTCCATCGTGAGTCCACAACTACCAACCACTGCTACTCAACCCCGGGTGCTTCTCCTCGGTGACGTGCTTGGGTTTTTGGTGACTGTTAAAGTGCTTTGTGCACTATTTAGTAGGATTATGGGAGCGCTGCTCACAGCGCGGGTGGCTCACTCACCCCCATTTTCCGTTGATCCGGTTGCTGCTTTTGGTTCGATTTTTGGTGGTGGTGGCTTTCCGATGGAGGCGCGTAAGATTTGGTGGTGGATGCTGGTTTCCTCTTTATTTTTAGGGTTTCTGTTACTTTTTTGCTATGCCTTTTGGGCTTTGTGCTGTATTTGCTCTTTCCCGCTGGGCTTGTATTTCAGTTGTGAGATGTTTTTGGGCTATCTTTTCCTTGTATTAGTCTCTTTGTTTAATGGAAAAGTATTGCAGTTTGTCCAAAAAAAAAATTACCCACAATGATGTTAGGGAAGTGAGGTGTTGAATTTGTTTAGGCAGATACTTGAGCTTCGGCCAACCGATCAAATGTAAAATGGTCAGGTGCATTAATGATCCAACTTGAAAATCAGGGAAGGAATCGAGCTCCCCCCAGAACCCACCGATAATCAAAAGACTGAGAGAATTGAGGTTGTCTAAGCTTGGAAGAATCTGTAAATTAGGGAAACATTGTAATCTCAGCGTCTGAAGAGAGAGTGGGAATTGCAGGCTGGTCAAAGTCTCCACTCCGTCAAAGTCTCCACACCGATGCTCAAATCCTTCAAGCGCGGGAGGCAGTGTAGTCTCGTCGGTAGATATTTTAACTTTGGCCACTTTACAATCTCCAAACAACGGAGAGAAGTGAGGTTGTCTAAATTTGGAAGAATCTATAAATTAGGGAAACCCTTTATTGCCAGCCCCTCAAGAGAGAGTGGAAATTGCAGACCGCTCACCCAACTTTCTAATCTTTCACAATCTTCAATCCACAGATGTCGAAGGGAAGTCATGGTGCGCAAATCTGAAAAAGATTGTAGACTAATGCTGCTACTTTGGACACCAAACCATGCTATCTTTGGGCAACTACCTATCTCCGATGCCTCAAGAGAGGAACATTGTTGTGGAAGAGCAGGTAAGCTTGATAATTCTGTGCAACCATAGATTCTCAACTTCTGAAGCGAGGTGGTAACGCCGCATTTAATTTCAATTGATGTCATCTCCATACTATCAATTCCACAAGAGAGGCCCATACACTCAGTGGGCCTGATAGTCCATTACATTCCCAAATTTTCACTTTTTGGAGGAAAGGTGCAATACTCTAACCCACTCGGTAGGCTTGACAATCGTTCACAATAACCAATACTTAATTCCCGAAGAGATGCCATGCCCTGTGTAATTGGAATCAACTCTAGACTAGGACATTTCTTAATGGTCATTTCCTCAAGAAGAGGGAGTGTATCTAGCCCATCCGCCAAATGCCTCAGCTTTTCACAATTACGAATAACCAATCTCTCAAGAGAACAGCAACAACCAAATACATATGAGAGATTATTGTTGTTCTTCAACATCCCTTGCGGCAAACACGTAAGCTCCTTAATATTTTTAATTTCGAGGGAAGTGATAGTTGTTACTCCATTGCTTACTTCTTCTATTAGTTTTCCGCTCTCACTAGAAATGATCACCAACTTTTGAAGAAATGGAAAATGACTTGGAGCATTTCTCAACTTGGAACAATATTGGATATCCAACTTCTCGAGGCAAGGAAAAGCCACTACTCTTTGTGTTGACACTGTTGGTGCTTCCATCCATTCAATTAGATCACCACACCTAGAAATATTTAATACTTTTAGTGCAGGAAATAAAGAAATTATATCCTTACTTGTCGTGGCTACATTGCGGACAAAATCATAACCATAGAACTCAGCTCCAACACATTTCAAGTTAGCCATACTGTCAATCTTAAGCTCTGTAAGATTGGCTAGATGACCGAGCAGTGGGACTCCTTCACATTTGTTGCATCCAAGTAACTGAATCTTCTTCAAGTTGTTGAGCAGTAATGACCTACTCATCATCCACGATGGAAACTTACCGCCCATGAAATTTTCAATATATAAGCTCTCTAACTTAGAATGCGGTCGAAGGCCTTCCAATGCATCCTCATCCTCATTGTTGTTGGTTATTGACCTATCTTCTGTCCATTTGAATCTTAAATGCCATATTTTCGTCTTATCCTCCAACTTAGCTTTCTTTGCTTCTCCATTCTTTACGTGCTCCAGATTACAAATAATTAATTCACCTTTCAATTGTTTCAAGTCAACCAACTCTTCAATTCGACGACCAATCTCATTACCCACTGAAAAGCAAAGTAATGTTCGAAGGCAAGTCAACCGCCTTATCCCCTGCGGAAATTTCGTACTCTCATCAAAATAAATATGTCTCAGGTTGATCAAGTTTTGCAATTCTTTTGGAAACTCTTTAAGCGCACAATTTGTTGCTTTTAACGTCTGTAGGTTATAGAGCTTACCTATAGTGTTGGGGAGTGCTATGAATCTTGTTTTGGAAATGTCAAGATACCTCAAGTGTTTCATCCTTCCAACTGAAATTAGAAATTCTTCAATATTAGCATTACTTAAGTTTAAGATGCGCAAAGCTGCGAATCGTGGAAGAATGTTACTAGGAACCTCACCACCGTCGAAAAACAGCGACCGCAACTTCCTAGCACTTATTTTTGGAATTTTATTCAACAAGGAAGTAGAAACCCGAGCAACAAGTCGAATATCAAGTGTATTATCTATGCCACATAAGTCACTCGTCAAGCTTTAGGATTTGGATACAATGACATTGTCACTCACTGTAGCATCTTGAAATAAGGAGCTTTGGAATAAAATATCAAAATATTCATTGCCTATGTCCTCCATATCTTTACTTTTGCCAAGTGAAGGGTGGAGTAGTCCTTGAGCCATCCAAAGTTGAATCAAGTTATCTCTTTGAATTTCAAAATCTTTCTTGAACAATGAGCAATATGCAAAACATTGCTTCAATTATGGTGAATCTAAATTGTCAAAACTCAACTTCAAGACTGGCATAATTCTATCTCCTCCTTTTGATATGTTATCCCCAAGGTATTAAATATCGATGATATCGGAAATATCGGTAGTCCGAAAACATGGAAATATCGATGGAAATATCGGGATAATATCGATATCGATAAAAATAATATGGAAACCACGGAAATTGTAAGAAAAACTTGGAAATTTTTATTGAAACTTTGCAGGATGTTTATTTAGTCAATTATCTATTAGTTTATCACAAAAAATTGGAAGGAAATGCATTGCATGATGGATTTAACATTATCAAGTTGATTATATAACGAGCTGGCAAACATTATGAGTGTAGAAAATATGTAGTAATTAATGAAAGAAGTTTACACACCATAATCATTTATATATAATGAATTAGTACAATATTTTACACTTTATACATTGCATGGTAAGATACAAGAGTGACTTAGTACCACATAGAGTTCCTATAAGGTTCAAATTTTTCACTATCTTCATCATCTCTATGTGTAGAGTGAGTGTATTGTGAAGAGTAGTTATCAAATGATAAATCCCCAAAATAGTTTTGCATATAATTGTTAACATGCCACCCATATGGATCCGAGATTGGTTGACCTTGTCCATAAGCAAAATCATTTGAAGATTGAGTCTCGAATTGTTTCCATGAGTCGCTCGATTCCATCCCAACAGGAATGGGATATGAAGGGTAGGGAAATGGTTGGTTATGAGTATAACCATAGTTACTACTTCCCACTCCAACAGAGTCTGAAGTTATAGATAACGAATCATCTTCTTGACTTGACAAAATCCTCTTGCCTCTTTCTCTACGAGTATAGTCCTTCCCTATGACACCAATTCCTGGTTCTGCCCGCCTACTGCCATGGTCCTCATCTTGTGTTGCATGCGTGAAGTTTGCCTCACCAGTGAAGGGGCTCATAAATCCGAGAGGTGGTCCAACATAGTTTCCATATCCACCACCACTACCTCCAGCTCCACTATATCCTTCATCATTCCTACCTCCGGTGGTAGGTGAGTATCCTCCTAATCTTGTACTAGAGCTATCATTAGTATCAGCACGATGCTGTGGTTGTGTAGGATTGGAAGAAGGTGGAATTCCAGTGTTTCTTGGTCTTGGGCGCAAATGTTCTTCCAAAGAGTCAGCGCTGCTAGATCCCACCTCCTCCGCTAATACTCTTTCTACATTTATCCCTTCATTACGTGCTTCTTCAGCAACTATGGGAGCTGGGTTGCCTTCATCATCATCTAAATGAAGAGGTCTAATCCATTGATAAAGTTGGTTACCCTCTGTATCATCATCTTCAGCAACAATATCAAACACATCTAGTAGGTCACCACAGTCGACATGATCTATTTCTGCTTCCTTATCCCGAATTTGAAGCTTCATGTTTTAGTAGTAATAAACTAATTTTTCCAACCGACTATGAGCCAACCTATTTCTTTGCTTTGTGTGTATGAGTGCAAATGTGCTCCAATTTCTTTCACAAGCAGATGAAGAAGTTGTTTGTGATAATACTTTGATTGCTAACTTTCTCACAGTTGGTGCATCTGTCTCATACATGATCCACCATTCAGCTACAATGAAAAACAATGTCGGTAAGCCTAATAACTCCAACAAATTCTATTATAAACTTATCGAGAAATATGTTTACACTCACTAGGAGACATTTTTGTTCGAGCAGCAACTGATGTTAGTTCTCCAAAAGTTCTTCTTGCATCTTTAAACCATGTTAGCTGAATTCAATAAATCGTGTTAGTTTAATCCAACAAAGTAATTATTATAATTTAAGTAATTGTGTACCTCATTTCCAAATTGGCCAACTGCTGGTGATGCAGGGTCTAATTTAGAGTATACATTATGTACATCACGTATAAGGGTACCATCATCTCCAACACCGGGTCTGTATTGGTATCGAGGATTCAAATAATATGCTATTCAAAGAAACACATACTCTAATAAGAGAAATAATATTTATGCAACTAAAGAAATGAATTGCAAATTATGACATAATTTATACCTGCTGCATGCAAATCGTGGTATAATGTTTTATACCATCGGTCTTCAATTATCTTTATGACCCACCTTGCACCATGTTTTCTTTCCAATTCATCCTTCACTACACGCATCAACTCATATATTGCCCCCATAGTAGGATACACTTCTGTGTCAACGATTCGTAAAACTTTGTAAAGAGGTTCAAACACTTGGCACACATGTTCTGATTGTGTCCAAAAAGCATGATCAAGCACTATACTTTCCACCATACGACCTGCATTTAAGCGGCTCAAATTGTGGTTGGCCCAATCGTCACTAGTGAATAGTTGCTTCAACCTTGCTTTCTTCTTAAGTAGGCTGTCTAATGCAATATAGTTGGTGGTGAATCGAGTGGTAGCTGGACGAATAATGTTTCCTTTGCAAAATTCATGCATCTTTGCCAACAACCAACCTTGATTGTAAATATAATTTGTGATCGTTCTAGCTCTTTTTACCACAGTAGCAACATTCTCTCTCTTCCCCATTGCCTCAAACATGAGATCAATACAATGTGCTGCACATGATGTCCAAAACACATTATGATGCTTCATTAACTTTTTTCCAGCTTTGACAAATGCAGAACCGTTGTCGATCACGACTTGGACAACATTATGCTCTCCCACCTCCATGATTACATCCCTCAATAATTTGTAAATATACTTGTAGTTCTTTATATGGTCTGAAGCATCAACAGACTTCAAAAAAATTGTCTTTCCCTTGGAGTATACCATGAAGTTTATGATAGACAATCTGGTCGGGCCAATCCATCCGTCACACATGATTGTGCAACCATTAGTTTCCCACTTTGACCTCAACTTGTTAACATACTCGC